AGTTGACGTCAGCTTGGTTCATCGGTTACCAGGGAAACCAGCAGGGGGCACGCCCCTCATCGCCCCTCGGGCTAACAACCTTCATGGGGCAGATGACTTCCCTTTGATAAACTATCATTATCTAATGATAGCAGCAGGCAGGTGTGTAGGCATTCACCGATCAGGCTCTGTGATGAAGAGGGAAGGTCAGTCCGATGTGTAGGTGTGGGTTAGGCAGGGACTGGTCGCGCAGGAGATGGACGGATACCAAGAGTACAGCCATCTTGGGGGCCTGATCATATGGCCTCCAACATACAGATCTAGGTGGGGGGTGGCGGCAACGCAATTTGTTCCATAACAGACTGGAAAATGCTTCCAAATATTGAATATGACGGTGATGTGTAAAATAGGGGACTAGAGGCACTGATGTTATCAGGTCTTACAGAAAGAATAATGAGGAAAGGAAGCCCAAGAAATGAAGATTACAATCTCCAAATCAGGGACAACTGGCAAAAAAGAGCTAGAGGTCAGTTAGGACAGAAGAGTTATCCGATTGGGAAGCTGTGGGTCAATCAGAAATAAAACACTGAGAGGAAAATTGGTGCTTAGATAACATGAGGGTTTGGTGGCGGGGGCGGGGAGGCAAAGTTTGCAGTTCTGAGTGATGGAAAATTCTAGAGACATTCAGCGGTCGGGTGGAGGTGAAATGTGAGGCAGAGGTTGGAGTTGGACAGAGATTCTGTGGTCATTCAAATTCTGGTGATAGTTAAAGATGCTGGATGGGTCAGATGAGGAAGGCAAAGAGAAGAAACCTGAAGAAGGCTCTCCGGGAAAGAGTGAGAAATGCAGAAGGTGATGGAAAGAGGACGGATGGCTCACCTAGGTAAGAAACACCCAGAAGATTACAAGGCAATGGAAGATAACATAAACTCCCCAAATATCTTCCCTTAATCCATAACAATTTTTTTTAATTTATTTATTTAATTTATTTATGTTTGGCTATGTTGGGTCTTCGTTGCTGTGCGTGGGCTTTCTCTAGTTGCGGCGAGCAAAGACTACTCTTCTTTGTGGTGCGTGGGCTTCTCATTGTGGTGGCTTCTCTTGTTGCGGAGCATGGGCTCTTGGTGCTCGGGCTTCAGTAGTTGTGGCACACAGGCTCAGTAATTGTGGCACGCAGGCTCAGTAGTTGTGGCACATGGGTTTAGTTGCTCCACGGCATGTGGGATCCTCCTGGACCAGGGCTCGAACCCATGTCCCCTGCGTTGGCAGGTGGATTCTTAACCACTACACCACCAGGGAAGCCCAATAACAACTTTTAAAGAACTAAATACTAAAAACTTTTTTAAGAACATAAAGCTAAACTTTTTAGGCTAATATTGTCTCAGAATTGCTCCATTCCCTAGAGCTATCAGCACTTCTTTCCCTCCTAACTGGAAGTGGATGCTCAACAATTTTATTCAAAGGAGCAGCCCTATTGAGTTCCGCCTCCCTGGGAAATCCCAAGGGCGCCAAAGGAGTCAAAGGAATGAGCATGACCATGACCTAGAGCACGCCCCTACTCATTACTCTTCCTCCTTTCTGTGCTTTGCTACAGTGTGAAGGAAGATACAGCATAAAGGCACAAATCAGACATGGTTCTGCATATGCCTAAAACCAGAGGACAGGGAACTAATATTATATTTTGCCATTATCTGATCTTAGACATTCTGGTTAATTTTCTAACCTCAGTGGCCATCCAGCCTCTTGCCACTCCCTTACCAGTGGCGTGTGGACCCGTGTCTGCAATGTCATTTCCCTCCTGGTGTCAGTTCATCCTGGCACTGTTTGCTAGTAGCAGGAGAAAGCCCCAGGGCACATCTGTAGAGATAGCCAGAAACAGACCGCTCATGAGGACATGTACCTAGGAGGTAGTTTTCTCCTTCTGGAGCACTGTCTCTCCAGGAAGTTTTAACTTAGTCTATTAAGGAATGTTTTCCACAGGAAATACATATCCAATGTTATTACATAAGTCTGTAGGAAAACATGTTATTTGAAAAAGAGGGCTTCCCTGGTGGCGCAGTGGTTAAGAATCCACCTGCCAATGCAGGGGACGTGGGTTCGAGCCCTGGTCCAGGAGGATCCCACATGCCACGGAGCAACTAAGCCCGTGAGCCACAACTACTGAGCCCGTGTGCCACAACTACGGAAGCCCACACACCTGGAGCCCGTGCTCCGTAATAAGAGAAGTCACTGCAATGAGAAGCCCGGGCACCGCAAAGAAGAGTAGCCCCCGCTCACCACAAATAGAGAAAGCCCTCGCGCAGCAACGAAGGCCCAATGCAGCCAAAAATAAATAAAAGAAAAGAAAAAAGAAAAACAGATTACCCTACAAGAATACATTTTTTTAAGTAAGTTTGATCATGGGACTTGGTTGTGGGACAGCTCTAAAACTAGAAAAATCTCTACATTTTCTGGTTTAATAAGTATTGAATTTTTCAATAAACCAGGCCTTTTTCTCTGGAACAGGTCGTTATTTCTAGAGGTATAAACATGAGTCAAATCAATGGAGTTGGTCATAATTTTTCCTCCAATCTGTATTTTGCCCAAACTCAGCTGTTTCAAAAATTGAAGCATCCTGTTTGCCTTGCTTGCTTTGGGCTTTCTGCTTTCTGGACACTAGATGGTACTATATACATATTATTTCACAAGACAAGGACCACCAACCTAGCTTGGTTATTTGAAGAATTACAGCCAAATTTATACCCTTAGGAGAAAAAGGAAAAATAATGGATGTGCTTTGAGAAAGTATTAGAAAGATGAGGAGAGGGGAGGAAAATGATTTTCCAGCAACAGTTACAGAGAAACAAGAAGATGATCTTCACTTTTTTTTATTTTATTGAAGTGCAGTTGATTTACAACGTTATGTTAATTTCTTCTGTAGAGCAAAGTGACTCAGTTATACATATATATTATTATATCTATATTATATATTTTTTCATATTCTTTTCCATTATGGTTTGTCACAGGACATTGACTATAGCTCCCTGTGCTATACAAGGATGATCTTTATAAAGTGATCTTTTTTTATACATCTGTGCCAAAGAGGGAGACGAGCAAGGAGCTTCAGAGCTGTAAGCTAGGTCAAATCTCCAAATGTGTATCTCCAGCATAGGCAGGATTGAATCAAATATCTCGAGTAGTAGGTGCCCCACCATCATTAGACACTGAAAACAGAGTTCTGCACTCAGTGGAAGCAGAGCCAAGGTATCAACATAACACAGTCCTGACTATGTCGTTGGAGGTCTGAATCTATCCACGTCCGAAGTTAGCCCTACAGCAAGAACTTTCAGTTGTGTGATCCAATGTGTTCCCTTTTCACTTAAGCCAGCTTGAGTGTGTTTTACTCTGGCAACTGCAAGCACATTTGCAAGGCTATATCTGATGCACTGGGATGAACAGAGAACAAACTGGACAGAGTAAACAGTCAACGTACACATGCAGGAGTGAGTCACGCTTATGTTTATAACTTGGGTCAAGTGTTCAAATGTGACAAAATTATTCTCTTCAGAAAAATAGATGCTCAGGATATCCCGTTAGCTGCAGCAGGAGTCTTAAAGTGATTCTAGATACTTATAGGCTAGTAGATAGTAAGACGAATTGCTAAAGAGATTCTGCAGGTTTGGCACAAAATGCTCAGCTATATTCTATGTGGATAATTTGATGGAATTCTATAAGATCATCTTGCTGATGAACTTTCTCTCTTGCATAGGAATGCTTCAGATTTACTCCGCCCAAATAAAGGATTTTCTCATCTTTGAAGATTCTTTGTAGGTATTAACTTTCCCCGTGGTAGCAATAGTCACGAAGCTGGAGTCATAATTTGTGAACTCTGGGTCTGCTCTAGAGTTGAATTTCAACAGAACACTCAGGCTTCTTTAAATGATATTTAATTAGATAAATACATTGAATTAAAATAAAATTTAATGAAAGCGACAATCTAAGACAGCCTCAAGGAAACAGATAATTCATTTCTTCTTCTTTAGCATTTTCAGAGACTGAATACAGTTCAGAAATGTAACAGTTCATTTTTGTGGTGGTGATAGCCGATTTGCAAATGAATCGTTAAAAAAATCATTTCTTTCATACTTAATAGATATGAATTTAGTGAGTTCACATCCCTAAAAATAAGGACACTTTTGGGGACTGCCCTGGTGGTGCAGTGGTTAAGAATCCACCTGCCAACGCAGGGGACACGGGTCTGAGCCCTGGTCCAGGAAGATCTGGTCCGGGAATATCTGGTCCAGGAAGATCCCACATGCCACAGAGCAACTAAGCCTGTGCACCACAACTACTGAGCCTGCGCTCTAGAGCCCATGAGCCACAACTACTGAGCCTGCACGCTGCAACTGCTGAAGCCCGTGTGCCTAGAGCCTGTGTTCTGCAGCAAGAGAAGCCACCGCAATGAGAAGCCCGCACACCGCAACAAAGAGTAGCCCCCGCTTGCCTCAACTAGAGAAAGCCCGTGCGCAACGAAGACCCAATGTGGCCAAAAATAAATAAATAAATTTATTTTAAAAAATAATAATAAGGACGTTTTTCATTCTGAAGCTTGAAAACTCCTTATTTTCCTTGAAGGTGCCCTAGCTTGCCTCTCTGTGCTCTGTTTATCTCTGTGAAGACCTCCTCTGAACAGTCTCACCCTCACTTCTCACCCTGTGATTCCCCTTCCCTCTCAGGACTTTGTTCCATCAGTCAGGTCCTTCCTTTTCACATTTAGTTTCTTTCTATCTGTTGAGTCTGCAGTGGTTAATGTTATATGCATCAGCCTGATTGGGTCACAAAGTGCCCAGATATTTGGTCAAACATTATCCTGGGTGCTTCTCTCAATAGATGATAGATGATAGATAGATGGATAGATAGATAGATAGAATATATACATATATATTCTACTGGCTCTGTTTCTCTGAAGAATCTTGACTAATAAAGGATCCTTCTCTATCTTAAAAAACAAGAAAAAGAAAGAAAAAGAAAAGAAAAATGAGTGAATCTTGTTGCCTCTTAGAAAGATAAAATAAAATTTGTCATCTTACTGGACCCCAACACCATCTCTGGCAGTCATCTTCCTTTTCCCCATTTCAACTTCTCTCTTAGGTATCTGTGGTCTGTGGTCGCTCTCCCACTTCTTAATTGCTGGCTTTTGGATCCCTTACAAACCTGGCTTCTCCCCTCTCCACACAAACTGTAGCCTTGAAGGAAATCCGTGACCTCTGGATTGCAAAGGTCTGTATCCCTTTTCAGTCCTTATTCTTTTGGCCTCTTCTGTGCTAACATGGCCAATAAAAGGTTCCTTTAAAATTGCAAAAGTTTCCTTTCAGGAAATTTGAAAAGTTCTGAAAAGTGCAGAGGCAGAAAAACCTCACCTGTAATCACAATACTCAGAGATAACTCCTTGTTGGTGTTTTTGGTTCATCTTCTTCCTGTATTTTTTTCCCATAGTATACATACTGTTTGAGATCAAATTTGGGGTCATACTACATGTCCTTTGAACATCTGTTTTCCTTTTACGTTGCATATATTATGGATATTTCTCCATGCCAATAAATATTCTTCTGCAATAATTTTTTTCATGCCAGCGAATCTGATCATCATATTGATATAGTAAAACTTATTTTGGGGCTTCCCTGGTGGCACAGTGGTTGAGAGTCCACCTGCCAATGCAGGGGACACGGGTTCGTGTCCCGGTCCGGGAAGATCCCACATGCCGCAGAGCGGCTGGGCCCGTGAGCCATGGCCGCTGAGCCTGCGCGTCCGGAGCCTGTGCTCCGCAACGGGAGAGGCCACAACAGTGAGAGGCCCGCGTACCGCAAACAAACAAAACAAACAAACAAAAAACTTATTTTTATCTCTTTCCCACTCTTAGGTGTTTAAGTTGTTTCCATTAAATATATATATATATATATATATATAGTCAAGAAGACTGAAACTCAAGCAGGAGCAATGTTAACTAATGAGTTCTTACAGATTTCCTTGGAGAAGGAACAGCAAGGTCTGAATTGGGCATGGTGAGCTTTCAGAACCAACACACGTTCTCCGTCATTCTGTCCTGAGGTGAGAGGTGTATTTAACCCAAAGAGTATGGAGAACCTCCCTCTCAAAGCTGGATTAATCCTGAGTTGAGATGTGTTGGGAGCATAAATGATCTTGGGAGGTCCCAAGTGGACTTGGCATTGAGTAGAATATTTCTTCCGTCTTTGGTTAAGTCTTCTATTGAGGAACATTCTGTCTTGGAATAGATGAGAGCTTTTATAAGTCCTGCGAATGCTATCAGATAGAATTTTAGCAATCTTGAAATAGATAGCTCTGGGGGAGTACATTTCCCTCTCTGGGCTTCAGTTTCCTCATACCTAGGGGGAATGTATGTTTAGACATTCTCTAGGATTCCCTCCTGTAATTCCATGATCCTGTACACAGAAATGAATGAAGAAGTTCTCCTTCTGTCTTGTCCACGTGGATTACCACGACAGCTGCCCACGCCCAATAAGCATGTCTCAACGAAACATGCAGTCACGGGCCATGGAATACCTGGTGGGAACTAGGTCTCCACAAGAGGAAAGGCTAAGTGGATAAGGAACAGACTTTGTGGGAATCAGAGGGAGCCAAAGTGCTGAGTTTTATCCGATGCAAAGCAAGAAGGAAATGAGTCATTTGCAGGGTACAGTAAAAAATCAATGGAAGAGTCCTAGCTTAGAATCAATAGGCGTGAAATTGCAGGAAATTGTCCTTTGTTTAAACTAGGATTTTTCAGCTTCAGTACAATTGAAATTCTGGGTCTGATAAGTCTTTGCTGGGGGTTGTCCTGTGCATTGTAGGATGTTTAGCAGTACGGTTAAATGCCAATAGCACACTCTCCCACAATTTGACAACCAAAAATGTCTCCAGGTATCTCCTGGTGGGGTGGGGCAGAGTGGGGGCGGTGACAAAATCTCCCTTCCCCTTTTGGGAATCACTGCTTTAAACTTAATCGTCCTTAGCAAATAGGGATCCGACCAGTCAGGAAGGAATTCTTGGAGAATTTAATTCTGTAATGAACCACAAAGTTAAAGTAAAATGATAGAAAAGGGCTTAATTTTTGTAAGTAAAACGTCTGGTTTATAAGAGCAAACAGCATGAAATTATTTCCAAACAATTTAGATTGTCTTTTAATAATGTATGACAAATATTCTTTTTTTTTTAATTTTTAAAATAAATTTATTATTGGCTGTGTTGGGTCTTCGTTGCAGCACGCAGGCTTTCTCTAGCTGCGGTGAGTGGGGTCTACTCTTCATTGTGGTGCATGGACTTCTCATTGCGGTGGCTTCTCTTGTTGTGGAGCACGGACCCTAGGCACGTGCGCTTCAGTAGTTGTGGCATGTGGGCTCAGTAGTTGTGGCACACGGGCTTAATTGCTCCACAGCATGTGGGATCTTCCCGGACCAGGGCTCAAACCCGTGTCCCCTGCATTGGCAGGCAGATTCTTAACCACTGCACCACCAGGGAAGTCCCAATAATGTATGATAAATAATCTTTAAAAGAGGTGCTAACATTTGACCCTTGAAAATAATTTAAATAAGATCTCTTGCAGGATGAGGGAGGAACATAAACGACTATAAGTGTTTCAAGTAGAAAGGGATTTAAGGGAATTAGGTTCTTACAAAACTGTTGGAAGGACAGGAGAAGTAAAAGTTGGGGATCTACACAATCTTTCAGGTCCACCATTGCAGGCTTGGTTACAGCCAGGGCATAGCTTCTGTCACCTTTCGGTCAGAAATCTGCAGAAAGCCTCTGCCCATGTCCAAGAGACAGTGTTGATCAGGTATCTCAAAGACACTGATCTTACGCAGAACCCGTATTTCCACAGCGTCTGATGGACAAAGTGGAATGGGTTCTAACTCCCTTCTAATTCCTAAAGCTATCATGAGTCAATCTCATTGGTAAAGTTATATTTAAAACCTTCCTATCAAGAAGCCTAGAGAATACAATTCCCAGGCATCCAGCTGCTATAAGACAGGAGAGACTATAGGAAGGAGTGGGAATGCTGCTGGCTGCAACAGATAATATCCAACACAGAATTCTTTCTCAACTGTTTTGTTTACTGAATTGCTCAAACAGTATATTTCCCAGTCTTTCCTGCTCCTTGACTCTTGGGCCAAAAATTTTCCCAAGCTTCTATCCATTCACGACACTATTCAAGCATATGAACTCAAGTAGTTCAAATCAATTACCTGGAGAAAAGAATAATAATGGAAAAGTTCTCTAGTGATGACTAATTGTGCACAACTACAATTAGATCTTTAGTTGAAGGCGTTTTGAAATTGCTTTAAGCATGTAGTTAAAGGCATGAACAAAAGTGGTTATTTTTCTTTAAATTTCAAAATCTAATTAGTCATCTGAAAATTGCCATGACGTATGAAAGCTTTCTGTTGATCTTTTTCATACTAGTAAGTTACCACAGGAGGCATTTTCCTAGCATTTCCTTAAAACAGCATCACCAAAAATATCTCTTGCCAGAGCCTCATTAGGTGCTGTCATTTGTGGAAGAACCATCTCTGGGTGTTTATCAGGCTATTACCCATAATGTTAGACAATCTGGTTGTGTCTTTGCTGGCAATGAAGAGCCTATTGAGGAGGCTGGGGAAGATAATCATATGCAAGGTTGAGAGATACAAGAAGATCACTCACACAAAGAAATGTCAAGTTGGGATTTATCATTCCCTAGGCTCCAATTGGCTCAAGTGATGGGATAGAATTCACAAAATAGTTTCAGAATGAAGATTTATTCCAATTTAAATACAGAAAGGAAGAGAGAGAGAGAACATAATATTTTTAAATGGGAAAAGACTTCTTTTCCTCAAAGAAGATGTAAGAACTCCTGAAAGCCTTCAAGTGTGCAGAGTCCTTGATTAGTATAACCCTGGTCTCTATACTCTTGTCTGTATTGCCTATGGTGTTTAACATAGGCAATTTAAAGAGTTAGCAGAGGCTAATGAGAGCAATAATCCACAAGACTGTTGCTACTAAAACAAATTTCTGTATTACTGGATACCTCTAGGTACTTAGAAATTTCCATTTACAATGGACAGATCATCCAGACAGAAAATTCAGAAGGAAAATTTGGTCTTAAGTAACACATTAGACCAAATGTGTGTGTGTATATATATATATAGAGAGAGAGAGACATTCCATCTAAAAGCAACAACAGAATACACATTTTTTCAAGTGCACATGGAACATTCTCCAGGGTAGATCACATGCTGGGCCACAAAATAACTCTTGACAAATTTAAGAGGATAGAAACTCTATCAAGCATTTTTCCCCAGCCACAGTGGTATGAAACTAGAAATCAGTTACAGAAAGAAAAATAGGAAACAAACACATGGACACAAAACAACATGCTGCTGAAAAAACAATGGGTCAGTGAAGAAATCAAAGAGGAAATCAGAAAATGCCTCAAGACAGATGAAAATGGAAACACAACTTTCCAAAATCTGTAAGATGCAGCAAAAGCAGTTCTAAAAGGGAAGTTTATAGCAATAGAGACCTACCTCAAGAAACAAGAAAAATTTCAAAAAACAACTTAACGAAATTCCTTTCTAACAAAGGAATTAGAAAAAAATAAATAAATAAAGCTCAACATCAACAGAAGGAAGGAAATGATAAATATCAGAGAGGAAATAAATAAAATAGAGACCAAAAAATATAATAGAAAAGATCAGTGAAACCAAGAGCTGGCTTTTTTGAAAAAGTAAACAAGACTGATAAACATCTAGCCAGGCTCATCAAGAATAAAAGAGAGAGGACCCAAATAAAATAAGAAGTAAAAGAAGAGAAATAACAACTGATATCACATAAAAGCAAAAAGTCTTAAGAGACTACTCCAAACAGTTATATGCCAACAAATTGGACAACCTAGAAGAAATGGACAAATTTCTAGAAACATTACAACCTTCCAAGACTGAATCAGGAAGAAATAGACAATCTGAATGGACCTATCACGAGTAGTGAAATTGAATTTGTAATTAAAAAAAAAAAAAAATCCCAGCAAGCAAAAGTCCAGAGCCTGATGGTTTCATAGGGGAATTCTACCAAACATATGAAGAAAAAAGCTAATAGCTATCCTTCTCAAACTATTCCCCAAAATTGAAGAGCTGGGAACACTCTCAACTTCATTCTGTGAGGCCACCTGATATCAAAACAAGACAAGGTCAATACAGAAAAGGAAAATTAAAAGCCAATATCTCTGATGAATATAGATGCAAAACTTCTCAACAAAATATTAGCAAACTGAATTCAACAAAATATAAAAAGTATCATACACCATGATCAAGTGGGATTTATTCCAGGGATGCAAGGATAGCTCAGTATTCACAAATCACTCAATGTGATACCCCACATTAACAAAAGAAGGAATAAAAATCACATGATCATCTCAGTAGATGCAGAAAAGTGTATTTGACAAAATTCAATATCCATTCATGATAAAAACTCTCATCAAAGTTGGTAGAGAGGGTATATGTTGGTATATCTCAAAATAATAAAGGCCATTTATGATAAACCCACTGCTGACATCATACTCAGTGGTGAAAAGCTGAAAACCTTTCCTCTAAAATTACGAATAAGGCAAGCATGCCCACTCTCACCACTTTTATCCAACATAGTTTTGGAAGTCCTAGCCACAGAAATCAGGCAAGAAAAAGAAATAAAAGGCATCCAAATTGGAAGAGAAGAAGTAAAACCATCACTATTTGCAGATGGCATGACAATGTATATATAAAACCCTAAAGTCCCCACCAAAAAACTATTACAACTAATAAATGAATTCAGCAAAGTTTCAGGATACAAGATTAATATACAGAAATCTGTTGCTTTTCTATACACTAATAACTATCCAAAACCTAGAAAACAATCCTGTTTAAAATCACACCAAAAACAAAACAAAACCCTATGAATAAACTTACCAAGGAGGTGAAAGACCTATATTCTGAAAACTATAAAACATCGATGAAGGAAATTGAAGATGATACAAAGAAATGGAATGATATCCCATATTCATGGATTAGAAGAATTAATATTGTTAAAATGTTCATACTGCCCAAAGTAATCTACAGATTTAATGCAATCCCTATAAAAATATCTATGAAATTTTTCAGAGAACTAGAATAGGTAATCCTAAAATGTATGTGGACCCACAAAAGACCCTGAATTGCCAAAGCAATCTTGAGAAAAAAGAACAGAGCTGGAGGTATTACACTCCCTGATTTCAGATTATGCTACAAAGCTACAGTAATCAAAACAGCATGGTACTGGCACAAAAACATAGATCAACAGAACAGAATAGAAAGCCCAGAAATAAGCCCACACACTTATGGTCAATTAGTCTATGACAAAGGAGTAAAGAATATATAATGGAGAAAAGACAGTCTCTTCAATAAATGGTGCAAGGAAAACTGAACAGCTACATGTAAAAGATGGATTTGTGACATAACTTTCCCTCTTTTTAAAAAAAAGTCCTCTTATATTAGAAAAAACTCAGTTATTGGGGTATTATATTTATTCCAATAATTTAAATTTAATTTATTTTTATCGCTGTGATATTAAAGGTACTACCTCAGTCACCCTTGGAGCTGAGTATAAAAGTTGGCATCATGTTGGCTTCTCAATTGCTTGATTAATACAGAATATTTATCAAAATAAAATACCAAAAAGCCTGGCTTTGTCTCAAACTTGATTTTCTTATACCAGAAGCACTATTTAATGAGACACTTAGAATTCCATAACACCCACCATGGTGCTGTCACAAATGATGCCACTGTTAGAGAAGATGAAAAAGATGAAGTAGAAGAAAGCCAAGTGAGAAACACTCTCCTCAAAGGAATGCAGAGGAAGAACTTGAAAAGAAGGATGGAATTGACCAAGAAAGCACAGAGGGAGGGAAAGGGGAAGGGCAGTCGGTGCTCTTGTTAATCTGTTGGTAAATTCCAAATGTTTAGAGTGTGCTTTGTATACCAGGGCTATCTATGGAATTTCATCGTCTAGGAATACTTTGGGGTAGGAGTCTTCTCATGCTCGATAGTATATCAAGACAAATTTTAGCTGAGAACTGAGGCAGTATGGTACTTCCTTGACTTGTTTTGCAGTATTTCCTTTCTCTAATTACCTAATTATAGTACATTCTTTCACCAGCCTAAAGACTCTCAACCCAAATACTGATTCCTGGCAAACTGTGCTCTCAGCGAGCACCAATGAGCATCTACTAGGCACAGGCTCATGAGGGCTCCTTCTGAAATGAGAATGGCCCTTGTTTGTCAGTGCTGAGCACAATCTCCCCAGATGTCTGCAAAATCTTTTATCAGATCATTTAAAATTGCCTGAAATCTGGATAAGTAAGGCACGTATTATTAGTTGCCAAGATCCACTTATTTGGGAATCACTGAGCTTTTGAAAGAAAAACAAATGTAGTAAATAGGCATGACCCAGCCTAAGTTTCAGTATCTTAGAAACTAAACCCACCAGAGTGAGACAGACTGAACAATTTCATTTATCAATCTGGACTAATACCTTTATCCAAAAGAGATCCTTCAAGTTATACCACTTAAGATAAAGATTATGTCTATTCACTAAAAGCACGCAGTACAGTAAGTCTGCTCAGTGGTTTAGGGCAGAAGCACTGATTTTACATGTATAATTTCCTTTTGAAACCAGAAAACACGCCTTCACTGTTTTTTAGTTCACATCCCCGCAAAAATCAAAATTCATAAGATGGATAAAAATCACGTGGGTGGCTCTTTGCCTTACAAAAACATTAAGCCTCAGAGTTATTTTCAATAGTGAAATTCGCTCTTTTGTTCCGGCTTCCCTTAAAGGTGTTTACCACTTGAGAGGAAAACAGAGGCCACTCCGGTTTAGCGGGGTTGGGAGTTGGAGAAGTTACTGCCAAAGGGAAATTAATCAACGGGAAGACAGAGCAGGTCTGGACAGCTAGAACAATGAACTGCCGTATACACGTGCAACGAAATGTTAATACTGCTCTAGTGATACAGTGAACCTTCCTAAAACATGATGTTATCCTGTTTAAAATCTTTGGTTCAAAATCTCAGTGACTCCCCTGAGGTCCAGAATTTGGTAGATGTTCCCTTAGCAGCAGGGGCTCCTTCAGTACCAGCTGCTGCTGCTTTGAGCATGTCTCCACGTCTCTCTCACTCCCAGAACTCAGGGACACGTGTCTCCCCCAACCTGCTCTATGGTTACGTGGCTCTGGCCATCATGCAGCCTCTTACCTCTGCCTGGACTGTCTTTCCTACTTTCTCTCCAACCCCGGCCTCAGTCTCCTCCCTCTCCTGCTACCAAAGTACACCTTGTCCGCCTGATGAACTCCTACACATCCCTCAAGAGCCAGCTTAAGGATTCACTTTTCTGCAAAGCTTTCACTCACTTCCCAGATCTGATCCATCATTGTAGCCAGGGACTGAGGGTCCCTGAAGAGAGTGTAAAGTGGGATGATGACTTTCCAGTAGTTTCAAACCAAGCTGAATCAAGAAGAATGTTGCTCTGTTCATGACCTTGCTGCCTATGGAGAATTCATGGTAAGCTGTGTTGATGAGGACCCAAGGCTGTTTGGAATCCAATATCTTGAAGAATGGGCCTTGAACAATGAGTGTATCAGGGCTTTCTCACAAAAGGAGGTGAATAGTATTGAGAACAAAAGTGATTTCATTTATAACGGAAGAGGGAGAAAAATGAAGATGTACAGGTGGAGATGCTATAGATATTACTATTTACCTAAGTTTATGTTCTAAAAGTAGCCAGATAAGTGGTGGAATCCTCTACTTGACTAAACAAGCAAAGAGATCGTTTCATATTTGTAACTTCAAAGTATATTGATTAACTCATGTTTTGACCAGATGATGGTAGAGGTACATTTCTCTCTATTATCTATCTCTTTGGTGTTTCCAGAGCACTCTTACATTATCACTGTTGTCCTTTCATTAGTCTGCTGAGCTGTCAACGTGATGAGGTCAGAGTTTTGCGCACTCTGGTGTCTCCAGCGACTAGCAGAGTTTTTGACATATGGTAGGTATTTGATAAGTATTTATGGAATAAATTGATGTGTATATAATGTCATAGTTTGGTTCCTCTCATTTACTGTTGTGTCTCTAGAACCTAAAACAACATCAGCAGGTTGGATGCTCTCAGGAAATATTTCTTTTTTTTTTTTGCTTTATCTTTTTCTTTTTTTTTAACACCTTTATTAGAGTATAATTGCTTTACAATGGTGTGTTAGTTTCTGTTTTATAACAAAGTGAATCAGCTATACGTATACATATACCCCCATATCTCCCCACTCTTGCGTCTCCCTCCCTCCCACCCTCCCTATCCCACCCCTCTAGGTGGTCACAAGGCACTGAGCAGATCTCCCCGTGCTCTGCGGCTGCTTCCCACTAGCTATCTATTTTACATTTGGTAGTGTATATATGTCCATGCCACTCTCTCACTTCGTCCCAGCTTACCCTTCCCCCTCCCCATGTCCTCAAGTCCATTCTCTATGTCTGCGTCTTTATTCCTGTCCTGCCCCTAGGTTCTTCAAAACCATTTTTTTTCTTTAGATTCCATATATATGTGTTAGCATACGGTATTTGTTTTTCTCTTTCTGACTTACTTCACTCTGTAGGACAGACTCTAGGTCCATCCACCTCACTACAAATAATTCAATTTTGTTTCTTTTTACGGTTGAGTAATATTCCATTGTATATATGTGCCACATCTTCTTTATCCATTCATCTGTCAGTGGGCACTTAGGTTGCTTCCATGTCCTGACTATTGTAAATAGAGCTGCAATGAACACTGGGGTGCATGTGTCTTTTTGAATTATGGTTTTCTCAGGGTATATGCCCAGTAGTGGGATTGCTGGGCCATATGGTAGTTCTGTTTTTAGTTTTTTAAGGAACCTTCGCACTGTTCCCATAGTGGCTGTATCAATTTACGTTCCCACCAGGAAATATTTCTTAAACAAGTGAATATAGTAGAGCTGATCGTCTCTAGCCCTCACCTTTGACGTGAGGACATACTGCATGTCATGAGCCTAATACAGTGCCTGGTATGCATTAGCTACTCATTGTGTGTGCTTTTTCTTCTTGTCAGCTTGGAGAAGCAAGCTGAGGTGTTCTGGGAGAGGAAAAAACCCTCCTAGTTAGCATACAATGGATCCTCAGAGGGAATATGGCTACCATCAAGCCACCAGGACATTTATCACCTGATAGACGTATGCTTATCAGACCCTTAAAATGCTGTTTGATAATTGATGTCTATGATGGTAGAATGGTCCAGCTGAAAAGGCGCTGCGAACTCACCTAATCCATCCCTCAAATTATACAGGTGACAAAATGGGGCCTCATGAGCATCTAAGCAACGGGCCGTGAGTCCAAAGGTGTGTTGGTGCCGAGCAGGGGACAAAACTCAGGCCTCTTGTCTCCCAATCTGGAGCTCTTTCCATTCTACCAGGTTGTTGTAACAATAATTTGTATCAATTAGAAGGAAGATATTAAGGCTTTTTTTAAAAAAAAGAGAGAGAGAAAAAGCCATTACTTCTAAATTTTTAAAAGAATGTTCTTTGGTTTGGGGAAGGCTGGAGAAGGACACAGCTGTGGGATCAACAACATACATTGAATTTTAGAATTCCTCATGTGTTTACAGATTTCACCATGAACCAAAAGTGGAGTGATTACCGGTTAAAGATACTGAAGACCTAAGTCCAGGAAATTCCGAGGTGCCAGGTGTTTGATGGGATTTCAGAATTGGTACCTCTCCTTGACCATCCACAGCAGGATCTGAGGTGTGAGAACTATTTGAGAGCAGAGGGCCTCGTTTGGTGTAGGAAGGGAAACGATCCACAAAGGATCTCCTGATCCCCCTGGCGGTGGAGGGCTGGCTCCAAAGGCAGACAAAGGATGTCTGAAGTTCTCCTTGTTGAGGGGCAGAGCAGAGAGGTTAAACAGGTGGTTTCTGGAACAAAAGCCTGGAGTCTGAATTCCAGTTGTACCACTCACTCATTTATCTTGGGCAACTTTAAAATTTCCAAAGCTTTGATTTCCTAATGTCAGAGAAGGGGACATTTCCCCCTCTACCCCTCTTGAGTTCTTGTGGCTGGACTAATAATAAAATTGACACAAGAAAGATTAACAGGAGAAAAAGAAATGAATTTTAATTCAGGCACATGGAGGTCTCAGAGAAATGGGACCTAAGAAGCGGCCAAAGAGGACAGCTTTTGTACTTTTTAGACAAAGAAACAATAAATTTGTGAGGAACTGATGGGACAAAAAAACTGAGGTTTTGGGTGCCCAATGAGTGAAGAATCCAAACAGAGTTTGGGCTTGGGGTCAATTGAAGAAGGTCACAAGTTTGTTTATAGAGGCTTCTCGGCCATCTCTGGTGATAAGGGTGTCCTTCCATCTCCAGATGCAGGGAGTACACCTTTCACCTGAGATATTTATTTCCTGCTTTCAGGGAGACAGAAAGGAGGGTCAGAGTGTCCCTCTTGCACTGGCCACTTCTTCAGTCACTTTAATTCAAAATAATCAATATGCCATGAGGCACATTTTGGGGTGTCCTACCTGGGGCCCCAACACTAACTTGTAACATGGGTATGATAATAATAATAATAATGTTTGGGGAGTAATTTATCACAGTGCCTGGCACTTAGGATAAATTATTGAAAACTTTTAGTTGCAAAATACTTCATATGCATAGACATTTCTGGAAAAAGATCTAGTCAGGAAAGCCAAGCTCCACTCAGCAGGAACTGTTTGTCAGGGTTGTGCCTGACCCACTGGAGAGGAAAGGGCCTGGAAACTCTAACTTCCTATGATTGGATGGCTCAGCAGGTAACTCAGGGACAGTTACTAATGCCACACTTTCCTCTTCTTTGCCTTCAACAAAACACTGCCATTCGTCTCCCCCACCTGGAGGGCAAAGCTCAGCTCCCTGGTTTGCCATCCTGGCTGGTCTCTAATGCCCTGGGAGAGCTTAATGGGCAAACACCCAATCTCCCTGGAGTTCTCCTTCACCCAACAAGAAATAAGAAGGTATCATTCCTTCCTGGAATCCCAGCGTTTCTGGATCTGCATTTTCCACGTGCCCTCCAGGCTGGAAAGCAGGGCTGTCTTTGAAGCACTGTCCATTTTATAATAGATAACATCTCTTTTTTTTTTTTTTCCCGGTACGCCGGCCTCTCACTGCTGTGGCCCCTCCCGCTGCGGAGCACAGGCTCCGGATGCGCAGGCTCAGCGGCCATGGCTCACGGGCCCAGCTGCTCCGCGGCATGTGGGATCCTCCCGGACCGGGGCACGAACCCGTGTCCCCTGCATCGGCAGGCGGACTCTCAACAACCACTGCGCCACCAGGGAAGCCCTAACATCTCTTTTTTAAACGCCTGTATTCTCTCTCTTGCATGCCAGGCCTGGTGGGAAGCAAACGGCCTCCCCGAAGGAGACAAGCCCATTCTCCAGTTCATGTGCTCCCAGAGCGTCACAGAGCCCTGCCTGTCCCTCCTGAGCGCCGGTTCCCCAGAGACACAGGAGTAAAAAGGGAAGTCACTTGGTGTCCTATTTCTTAGAAGTCTGAACAATAGAAAGATTTCCTGTGAAACCAGCTGAGAGCTAAATATTCTTGGAAAGGGCCTACATGAGTCATATTTGCAGCATCTGGAGAAGAACACTTCCGTGAACCCCAAGAAGGCACAGGTGCTTCAGAGGGCGGGGGGAAACAAGTATCAAAGTCGTCATAGGGCTGTGTCACAGGGACACTCTCAACATTGGCTCTGGGCACAGAGTAGAGTATGTGAAGTTTGTTGTGTGTGTGTTTTACTTGCTAACTTTCCACCTCTGTCCCAGAGAGCCTGTGAAACCACCTAGCAAATCTCTTCATTCCTGGAGGAAAGCAGTTAATAAATGAGTCTTAACTCAGTCTCTTGGTTTAAAATGAAATCAAGCTTAGCTTTGTCATTTTCCAGGGAGATTCTGGATTTTAAAAAGTAATTTTTAGGGGACTTCCCTGGTGGCGCAGTGGATAAGAATCCGCCTGCCAATTCAGGGGACACGGGTTCGAGCCCTGGTCCGGGAAGATCCCGCATGCCACGGAGCCACTAAGCCCGTGCGCCACAACTACTGAGCCTGTGCTCTAGAGCCCTTGAGCCACAACTACTGAAGCCCGTGCGCCTAGAGCCCGAGCTCCACAACAAGAGAAGCCACCGCAGTGAGAAGCCCACGCACCGCAACGAAGAGTAGCCCCCACTGGCCGCAACTAGAGAAAGCCCGTGCGCAGCAACGAAGACCCAGCGCAGCCAAAAATAAATAAATTTATTTTTTTTTAAAAAGTAATTATTAGCGAGAACATGCATAATTCAAAGGGAAGGACTCATAAAGGTGGCACTTCCAGCCACAGTCAGGAAGGTGTGTGGCAGCGCCCCCCAGGAGCCCCATCCTTTCCGCACACACGGTTGCTGGATGTCCAGTCTCAGAGACCAGGGCTGTGGACAAAGGTGGCTTTCCCCCTCTCTCCTCCTCTCTTTCTCTGTAAAGTAGCTAAACTTCCTTAGTACTGATTACTCAACAAAGAAGATAGAAACTGCATTTTTTGAAGACCAAAACCTGGCCCATTGGTGTCCCTGTTGGGTTTGATCTTGTTTCCCTTCTTAAATGTAAGATTTCCCTTGAAGGAAGGGGGCATTTGGCCTCCAAGGCTACTCTAAGGAAGAAATCTTCAGCAAACGATGCTGCTATCGAGCCCGCAGCCACTGCAGCCAGCCCCAACGGTGCACCCCGAGAGCTCTCAGGATGGGACAGAACAGGTTACCCGTCCGGCAGCTGAGGTACATATCAGAGAAATGATTTCAATGAGCCCAGACTCTTGCATCTGCCCATACAGAGAGAAGCACTACATTCATTAACTTGAGATGTCTGGTTTTCTTTAATTAACTGTAATTAACAGACGTTCTGACTCCCTGGTCTTTGTTGCAAAAACCCCTGTATATCCTGGCTCCGCCCTGACCTCTTCGGAGCTATCCCTCCAGCTATCTGAGAGGGTGTCTCCCAGGCCTAAGTTCTCAGCAAGTCCACCAAATAAAACATAATTCTCTACTTTTAGGTTGTGCAGTTTTTTCCTGTGGACACTTCCTTTTTCTCAGAGTTTCTGCAGAATGTTTTCTCCAGGAAGACTTCACAGGAGTCTGGTGTGAGCCGGCGTTGAAGGTAGGACCAAGATTTCTCTCTGTCTCTGCTCCCTTCATTTAAAACAAGCTTGGCCCCTGAATTGCTGGACTTTCTGGCCTCTCACCCTCACATCCCCCGAATCCTGTGCAGTTGTTCTACTGCGGAGGCCCTTCTGACTCTGCCCAGACTTCTCTCTGTGGGATGCCCTCCTCCCTCTCCCCTGAATAACTCCTAATCGTCCTTCGCTACAGTGCTCAAAATATGTGCCACACAGTGACTTCCCTGGTGGTCCAGCAGTAAAGAATCCGCCTTCCAATGTAGGGGACACGAGTTCGATACCTGATCGGGGAACTAAGATCCCCCATGCCGCAGGGCAACTGAGCCCGCATTCCACAACTACTGAGCTCGCATGCCTCACCTAGAGCTTGCGTGCCACAAACTACAGAACCCATGCGCCCCAATAAAAAAAAAAGTATGCCACACACCACCTGCTGGTCTAGGGCAATCCGTTAGTGGCTTGTGACGAGATAAGAATGTTAAATGACTGACTCACTGAGCACACTGTTTAGTTCAGTTCTTGCTCTTTCTCAATGAAGGAAGCAGTGTGTGGATTTACCTTCCAAAGCAAGCTCCCTTTCTGGTCACATGTTGGCCTGCCTGAGCCCAGGATTGATCTGTTCTCCTCTGGGAAACCTCCAGCAGCCCCTCCATGCCCACCTCATCTCTCCCTTATAGGGGAGCAGAATTTGCCACCCCAAAATGTGTCTCTTTGGCATAAGGATTAATTTAGGCTGATTATTTTTTTAATTATTAATTTATTTTTTTATGGCTGCATTGGGTTTTCGTTGCGGTGCGTGGGCTTCTCATTATGGTGGCTTCTCTTGTTGCGGAGCACGGGCTCTAGGCACACGGGCTTCAGTAGCTGTGGCTCGTGGGCTCTACAGCACAGGCTCAGTAGCTGTGAAACACGGGCTTAGTTGCTCCGCGGCATGTGGGATCCTCCCAGACCAGGGCTCGAACCTGTGTCCCCTGCATTGGCAGGTAGATTCTTAACCACTGCGCCACCAGGCAAGTCCCTAGGCTGATTATTTTTAAGAGACAGAAGACTCAGGAAGTCTCTCTTTTTCCCTCCCTCTTAGCTGACTAAAGAATTTGGATAAAGGGTCAGTTCCCAGAATAGAGCTATCTCCAGAGGTATCTGCAAAGAACATGGCCTAGGTGTGGTGGGGAAACACAGCAGGGCTTAGAGATCAGAGTTCACTCCGTGTCCCATTGTCTCTGCCTGGCCCAGCAAACATTTGTTTGCAGAACATTTGCTTTTTCATCTCCATGTCAATTGCCTTCCTCCCCTTTCAAGTCCCAAATCCCTGCTCTTTAGTCTTTAGCTGAAGGTGGTGTTTAAGGTGAGGGCTTGGAGCATTTTGGTGAGTTACTCAGTTCTCCTGGGTCTCTGCCATGCATACATCTTATTAAACTTCTGCTTGATTTTCTCCTGTTCATCTGTCTCATGCCAGTTAATTCTTAGGCCAACCAGAAGAACCTAGAAGGGCAGAAGAAATTTTCTTCCTTCCTGACACCCCACCTCACCCCACCAGTGTCAAAACACCTAGCAAACTCTATTGGAATCATCTATTTTCCCCAAGTTGTTTATAAGCATTTTTAAAATATCTGGGACTTGACACCTAATGGATGCTTAGGAGATATCTGTTGAATGAGTCAATAAATGACTTTTCAGTGTTTTCAATACTAAGCATTCATTCCTTTTGTACGGTTAACAGCCTGGATGAGAATTTCTTTTTTTTTTTGGACACACCACGTGGCTTGTGGGATTTTAGTTCCCTGACCAGGGATCGACCCCTGGGCCCTCAGCAGTGAAAGTGCAGAGTCATAACCACTGGACCACCAGGGAATTCCTTGGTGAGAGTTTTTAATTAACTTTTTATGCAGTTTGGGCTATTGTACTTTCTGTCTTCCTAATATTTTAAGCCTTAACTAGGATTTCAAAGACAGAATAGATTTAGCCTTTCAGATAAATTTACCCTTTCCACAAATATCACACAGGAACCAGAAATGGGTTAAATTATGTTCACTTGAACCCCCTTTGATTACCATCGGCTTAAGTTGTAAATATGGTAGCATGGAAGGCAGGACGTTTAGCTCTCACACCCAGGTTGCTGGCTCTGTCTCTGCCCGTCTCCACTCTGGAATCTGCTTGGGGTCTTGGTTATGCCTTCTCTCCACTCAGTGGTTCCTCGCTCAGGCCGTAGAGGAGCGACAGTGATGCAAAGATTTATCCTGTCTTGGTGCTCCCAGGACACTCCTTATTTCCTGCTGAAGCCTCGGTTTCCTTAAACAAACCTCTGGAGCTTTGGGCGCTGTGAGACACAGCTGCAGCTTGGCTGAAGCTGCCATTTCAAGTGTGTTTGTTTTCTCTCATGCTTTGCTTCCTTTGCTCATGAAAAGCCTTCCCTCTGATAAACAATAGGTCACCTAGACCCCTAAGTTTGAGAATAACATACACTCTACCCACGGTGCCTCTCCACCAAAAATACAGTGGTGGACAGAAATAGAAAACTCCCCAAGAGAAAAATAAAATGGATATGAGGAAGAGCTAGTTAACCAAATTCCTGAGCCTCTGCCTTTCAACACAAATCTATCTGCTCATGTCTTTCTCCACGCGGTGCACATTCGTCCCAGTGTATCGGGTGGGTGGGTGTGTGCACGCATGTGTTTTAAGTAAATACTCCAGGTGCATTTATAGACTTTTAAAAATAAATTTATTTATTTATTTATTTTTGGCTGTGTTGGGTCTTCGTTTCTGTGCGAGGGCTTTCTCTAGTTGCGGCAAGCAGGGGCCACTCTTCATCACAGCGCGTGGGCCTCTCACTGTCGCGGCCTCTCTTGCTGCGGAGCACAGGCTCCAGATGCGCAGGCTCAGTAGTTGTGGCTCATGGGCCCAGCTGCTCCACGGCATATGGGATCTTCCTGGACCAGGGCACGAACCCATGTCCCCTGCATTGGCAGGCGGACTCCCAACCGCTGCGCCACCAGGGAAGCCCCTAGTCTTTTTTGTAACTTAACTCCCCCCAACCCCTAACCCTGACTGACACCTACGCATTTGAGACTAAAACACCCAGAAGAAATCTTGAGCTGAGCACCCTAATGAGACAGGGGCTGCCTGGGTGGTATTTGACTCCATATTATAAGACTAATTCGATAAACTTAAATTTCTACAACCTGTTTCAGGGAGGAAACTAGCTTTCCTTTGGAATTGGCCTTCGAGCCAGAAGGTTATTACTTGACTGTTGGCAGCCTTTGAACTGTTGGCAAAGGATGTTTTCCTTAGCAACAATTATACAAATCTGACATGCACAGAGTGTTTTTAAACTGTATAAAGTACTTTCATTTTCATTATCTCTTTGAATCCTTCCCAACTATACACAATTTAGTCGTTTTAAGGGTGAAGCATTTGGGGACTTCCCTGGTGGCGCAGTGGATAAGAATCCGCCTGCCAATGCAGGGGACACGGGTTCGAGCCCTGGTCCGCAAAGATCCCACATGCCACGGAGCAACTAAGCCCATGCACTACAACTACTGAGCCTGCTCTCTAGAGCCCACGAGCCACACTACTGAAGCCCACGCGCCTAGAGCCCGTGCTCCGCAACAAGAGAAGCCACCGCAATGAGAAGCCCGCGCACCGCAATGAAGAGTAGCCCCCGCTCACCACAACAAGAGAAAGCCCTTGCACAGCAACAAAGACCCAAAGCAGCCAAAAAAAAAAAAGGATGAAGCGTTTGAGACTCAGAGATTTTAGGTATTTTGCCCCAAATCACAGAGTAAATGGCAAACCTGGACTCCATGCCCCATATTCTGACCCCTGTTCTGGCATCTTCCTCTCTGCCTTCTGTGGGCTGAGGAGTAGCAAATACATATTCATGACATTATCACCACTCTTCGTTTTTCCCCAATCAGTCTGGCTGGATTGAGAAAAAATCTGCAAGGGCAGCAGCTGTTACATCACACTGGGGCGGCGTTGGTGGGGGCCAGTGGATGCCCGCTGGCCTTTGACATGCCTGCTCCTCCCAGGGCCTGATCAGCTCTCTGGGTGTAGATCTTGAAACTGAGCAGGACCCTGTGGGGCTCCTGGACATGGAAGCCTTTCTGTGTCCCCCATTTCTTGTTTGTAGGGAACAGACTCCAGCCTCCCCGTGACCTTCCCTGAGTCCCAAAGGGCAGATTTGAGCAGTTGCTAATCAGGGAAGGGAGGGGATGCAGAGACAAGGGAGAAGCAGCCAAGAAACAATAGTGCAGCCTTGGGGCAGGGTCCTGGTTCCCCCTCAAGGGATATACGTAACAATAACTTTGAGCTCTTCTGCAGAACTAAAACCCCCAACAAATGGAAGATGTTAACTACTTGATGGAGCGTTCTTTATTCCTCAAGAGCCAGAGAAGCTCATCTGGAGACCACCCGAGGCCAGATTTTAAAAATGCAGGCCCTGCACACACCCGGATCCTTAGTAGCAGCTCTGCCTTAGTAGCAGCTCTGCCTTTGAAACATTGCTATAAAACTCCTCACCAAATCCTCCCAGTTTGGGACACAGAGGTACTGTGGGGCACGAGCCCACTGTATCCCGCTTTGCCTAGCAAAGCAGTAAGGCTGTTCTTTTCTACTTCACCCAAAACTCTGTCTCTGAGATTTGATTCACCACTGGTGCACAGCGGCCGAGTTTTCAGCATCAGTCTGAGAACATGGACCAGGTAAGGCCAAGTCCATGGCAGTCCTATCTGTCCTTCCTTTCCCTCCAACATGCAAGGGAATGAAACGTGACAATCAGTTTCTTCCAACAGCCCTTTGCCTCCAGGGTAAATGGTGAGTTGAAGGGTTTGGGTAAGGATGAGGGTTGTGGCCATGGAGACTTCATTACACTGAAAGAAACCTGTACTTTCCTATACAAACGATACCCCTTTGTTATCATTTCCTTTGGAGCTCAGTATTAGCAGCTGAAATTGTCTTAGAATTAAATGAACAGATCCTGAGCTGTCCATTGACCTTGTCAGTGAGAGGTAATTATCTCACTGGAGCTTTAAGGCAAGCTGAAAATCATTATGCTTTTCAACATGACAAAATTGGCTAGAAAAGTCTACTGAAAATTCCATCTGATCTCACAGAATTTGCTTGTGAGAGTTTCAGTGAAAAGGAAACATAATTAACATCCGAAAATGTCTTATCACTGGGCTTGCCTTGGCTCTGCCCATTTGTGTCTGAAAAGCTGAATATTTAATACTGCACTTACTGAAAATGGAT